GCAGTCTCAGCTGCGTGGGTGCACAGCCTCTGTGTTCACTCTGGACTGTATCTTACCCTGTGTATTCAGCCACCTTCCTTCATCCTTTCTTTCCCAGGTAGAAGCACCTGAAAGACTGTAGTCCTAATGAATGTCCCCTGCCAGAGTCCTCACCTTTCATTTTCCTCTGTCCTAGAAGTTCACTCCACCAACATAGCTGGCAAAAACTCTATTCAATTTATGGGAATTTATTGAGCCACTGTTTTTGTAAATACCATATAGACAAAAATCTGAAAACAAAGAATCTCTTAGTTTTTGGAACCTTGGAGGCTGGGAAGCTCTTGCACTTGTGGGTATGGAAAGAAAATAGCTGGTCAGTGTAATTCCCATTCCATTTTTTTTGACCCTTTTATCAGGAAACTTGCCATCATCATGCTCTACATGCAAGCAAATTGGGTATGTTGTCAGGAAAAGAATGAAGATGAGAGAGGAGTCCTGCCAGTGGGAATTTCTCAGCACTGGTTTCCTGTATAACAGTCAGCCTTTTTATAAATAGAACCTCATTCCAATGCAATGGTACAATATTAATCTGTCACCATATTTGGCACAACCACAGGATCATGAACTACTTGCTTGCAAATTACCATTGGAGCTCATGCACAGAGCACAGGCTGTGATAATATTAGCTTGTTCAGAGTCACAAGTCTGTCGATGTCAGCAACAATTCAGTGTCTGTTTTCCAGTCTCAGAAAGTGTCATATCTGCATCCTTTCATCCCAGGAGGTAAAATCCTGGACTCCCTCTCTTAATATGAATAATTTGTCTTGTCACTCAGAGCCCTAAAGGAAAACCGTGTGACAGTTTCTGCTAGCTGTTCATATGAGAAAAAAAACTTTTTAAGAGAAGCAAATGTATATCAGGCATGTTTAAGTGTTATTTATTAATTATCTTTTAACAGCTTGAAAATTTTCACCAGACTCCAATGTGTAGGAGAAACCATTTATTGCCGCATGTCTTGTAAGCAAATTAAAAGAAGGACTGGAGGAAGCCCAGGGCCATCCTTACAAAGGCATGATTCCTGCCGTAGCTTTCTCAAGCAACCAAAGGGAAACCAATGTGGATATGATTCTTGTAAGTTTTACAATTGCGGAAATAATTCTGAACAGTGTCAGTGACACTAATCAGTTGTTTATCAGTTTCCCCCTGCTGCTTCTCATAAAAGGTCTGATTAGCTACAGAGGTCCTAGGCTGGGCTGTCTGCAGGCTTGGGAAGATGGTGCTAATCCAATGTATTCAGCTCACATGCAGAAGGCTGCCTTCAGCTGATGCCGATTTAACTTTTTCCTTACTTGAATCAAAAAGTCTATAGGAACTGATGATTTAAGTCTTTTCCTTCAATAGGTGAGCTTTCCAAATCCAGAAGTTTCTGAATTTATTAGAAGTGGATAGTAGTAAAACAGAAGTAGTCTTTGTTACATTTCCATTGCAGTCACATTGTCATTAGAGACAGTGGAAGTTTAGACAAAGGTATAGGACCCATATCTGTGTTATAAAATCATCTCTTAGCAGTTTCACTGAAATTGCCTAAAATGGTTTCCATTTTTCAAATTTCTCTACAAATGAAAGTAGTTTTCTTCTAGAGAAAAATCTTCTAATCCTCCTCAGAAGGATTAAAATGTAAAAATTTCTAGCAATGCAAAGTAGATCTGTAGGTGGATTTTATACTTGTCTTTTCAGTCTTGTAGCTGATAAATGAATTGTAACCTGTTTCATATTATTGAGCAAGCCTGTATTCTTAAAGGCATTCAGTACAAAATATTCCCTCAGCAAGTGAAGACTCAAGATTGGCTACTCTTACTTATGTTAACCTCTACAGGAAAGGTATGATTGATGCTGGCCAAGCAGTCATCTAGTAGAAAGCATCTACACTGTATAGACAAAGGAGATAATACCACCTTTTTGATATCCACCTTTATGCAAAGGGATCTAGTCCAACCACCATTTACCTGTATGTCTTATTACCAAGAGATGTCCAATTGCAATCAACAGAATGACTCCAGAAAGTTAAGCAAGGATATCAAAGCATGCAGGAACAGAATTCAGGAAAGATGAGTTAATTGGAAATCCAAGGAACTCAGCTGGGAAGCTGTGCACTGAGTTCCTGAGATAAGGGCCCATATTTGTAGTTACCTAGGTGAAAAGAACAAAGTTAAATTATTTTTAGGAAGTACTAAGAACATATGTCTGATGTGCTATGTAATGAAAACCCACAGAGATGTCAGTATTTGCTAATTATTCTTACATAACTAGGAGAAAAATTCCACATCTGTTGATCATTATATGAGCATTAAGCTTCCTTTCATTTTGAGGACAATAAAAGTAAACTGGCTTTGGTAGTTGCTGTTATATGGTAAATCAAACTTTTTCCAACAGTTACCTGGGTAAATGTGGACATTTTCATGAACATAGAAGCATGCAGAATTTGCTGCATCATTTCCATGGAGTCCCTCGCAAGTGTGAGGGCAATGCTTATGTGTTGACTGTGAGAAATAATCTTTCTGGAAGCGTGTGTAACAAGCTTGAGAAAGTAAATTGTTATACAGTTTGTCTCTAAAATCTTTGGAAGAGCTTACAAAATAGTGTGAATTAGTTAAGGCAGGCAATAGGCAATAGGCAACTTACAATTTGTTGAAGCTGCATGTTCTGAGTAAATCAGTCCTTATCTTAATTGTCCTTGTTTCTAAGCCTAATTGTCCTTGAAAGTATCATCAGCTGTTATATTTTCACACAAATAAACTGCTCAGGAAGAATTTGTCAAACGCCTTCGGTGCAGCTTTTATTCTATGTCAGATTCTTTCTGCACACATGCTGTCAAGGCTTTGTCTACGGCAATTGTAGAGCTGTGAAAAGAAAAATACCATTCCCAAGCTCTGTTTTCACGTCTCTCTTCCAGTATTTCATCATATTGATTCAGTTCAGGCATGTTTTGGTTTGTGTGCATTAGAGGTATGTAAAATGACAGTGCTTATGCTTGTCCAGAAAAGACAAGAACTTGTTGCAATTCCCAAAGCAACAGCAGCTGTGGTTGCACAAGCTACTCTGTGTAGAAACTATGTTTTCCAAACAGCAGTCAGGTTCAGCAACCGTTTAAAAAGCCAAAAGCCACACAAGTATTATTTTTAATTGCAACATATACCTACAATTTAGAGCACAGTGCACCAGTATAATATGAAGACTCATAAAATATCATAGAATCACAGAAACATTAAGGTTGGAAAAGACCTCTAAGATCATCAAGTCCAACCATCACCCCAACACCCCCATGCCTACTAACCCATGTCCCTAAGTGCCATGTCTATACATTTTTTGAACACCTCCAGAGATGGTGACTCCACCACCTCCCTGGGCAGCCTGTTCCAATGTCTGACCACTCTTTCAGTAAAGAAATTTTTTCTAATATCCAGTCTGAGCCTCCCCTGACGCAGCCTGAGACCATTGCCTCTCATCCTATCACCTATTACTTGGGAGAAGAGACCAACACCCACCTCACTATAACTTCCCTTCATGTAGTTATAGAGAGCGATAAGATCTCTCCTCAGCCTCCTCTTCTTTAGGTTCCATTGTATCTGATCAGCCGTTCTAAGAAAGAAGGGCTAACGTTGGAAATATGCTTGTTTCCAAGTTAGAAAAGACAGTACAGACAACTACTGAAAGCATATGGATTTTCTGATTCTCCTGAATGCAATAAAAACTGAGGAATTAACCCAGTCAACATAACCCTTATTTTCAGATTGTTCTTATTTTATTTAATTTTTATATCCTATCGTCCCCTACTGAAGTGCCCCTATACCATTGCCCTGGCTAGTGCTGCTCCCGGGTTGTTTGCTTCAGCCAAGACAACGAGTCCGTCAGCATGACCAAGGGCTGCAGTTAGGTGTTTCCGTGCACTATTCCCATTGCTCTGATAGAAAATGTGCTGTGAGTACCCAACTGCTCTGTCCCCTGTTACGAATGTACCGCCTCCCTGCCACAGACCCAAAAATCAGTTCAGGTTGGATGGGACTTCTGGAGACGACCTGGTCCATCACATCACTCACGGCGAGGCCAACCTGCATGGGGTTTCCCAGGGAAAGTCATTCTCAAAAGCAACCTGCAAGGTAAAAGTCATGCCTTGGCTGCACTCCTTCAGCTGTGCCCAGTGGCAGTCCCTGCGTGTAGTGGGAAGCCAGGTCCCACGCACGTCTTATATGTAGGAACACATTCGGTCCAGTGCTATGAGACTGGCATATTGGCATGTTTTCCCAGCCCGTGGATTTTCTCAGCTAGTGACTTAGCAGGGAGTGACCACTTTAATGAAGATTCAGCATATGGGTTTGGGGTTTTTTGTGTGTGTTTCTGCAATGATGTATCAGCACCTCAGGGCACATTGTGTCCTCTTGGGGCAGAAGCCCTGGTGCTGCATCCCTGCCATGGTACCCATCACCACAAGGCACGCGGTTCGGTAAGAAAAGGAGCAGGTAACCTCCAAGGAGGCTGCTCCCCTGTGACCTGGGACACATGTCTGAATAGCAAGTCCTGTCCCAGTCCAAGGCTGTGGACCCAAACATACTACATAATCAGGCTGGTAAGATGCTGGGGCAAGGGCTGTGACTATGCTCCAGAACCCAGTGCGAGCCACACTTCAGGTCTCCTAACCCAAGAGCACACATGTCCCACACGAGGTGGGGGTGGCTGGGCACAGGTATCTGTGCGTGCTCAGCCCACGCTCCAGCACTGTCCAGGTAGGGGAGGTCACAACAGCTGCTGGCCAGCAGGCAAGATCGACAGTGCTTCAGCTGATGGAGCATATCACTTTTGAAAAAACAAACTTGTCATATCATTTTGCCTGCTGACAAGAGCCACTTCGTCTCGTGACACTACCTGCTGTCCCACAGCAGGGCAGTTTCCCTGGGAATGAAGTGTCAAAGCAAATGTCTGCTACTTAAAAATGAAATTCAGCCTTTTAGCAGTCACCCAGGCTGATGGATGAACACCCACCCTTTGCCTCTGTCCCCCACACAGTGCGGCTACCCCTGCCCGGAGTGGCTGGTGGTCAACATCGGCTGGCTTTCCGTGGAGGTAAAGGCTTTTCATTCTTCGTGTTATTAAAAAAAACAGCACTTTTTCGTGTTTGAGGCGTCATGTGGTGATTCCTCAGGTAAACCAGGTCAGAAGTTGACAGCAATGTTGACAGCTTATTTTTCCTTGCAGAACAATCTCTGTGCCTGTGTTTTTGAGGAGTACAAACATATGCATAAAGCCTATTTCAGTTAAAGGGATACTGCAAACTGACAAACAGAAAACCCAAACCTTGCCATTACCTATGTGTGTTACAAGCATTTACGTTACCAGAAATGATAGGTAGTTATTTTTTTCTATTTTTCTCTGGTTTGTTTGCCTGACCATTTGACAATAATCCAGTGTTTCCTTTGAATATCCATGTTATTAATCATTTTCCCCTTTTGTTTTGTGTGAGCCTTTCATATTACAATGAAGAAATCAGTCTCACCAGGGAAATGTGATTATACTGGTACCAAAACTGGCCAGGGATTCAGGATACAACTTTTTTTTTTTATGCAAGGTGTGCAATTGAAGTAATTTCTTTAGTTCTTATATTACATACTTAATCACGGCATAAAATTCTGTGACCTCTTTTTAAGTAAGCTAGCTTTGAAGCTCAGGATGAAAAAGTGTGTTGCTTTAATGATAACTGTGTAGGTTCTCATCAAAACAAAAGTTTGGTCTCATTATCCCATTGTTCTCCTTTTCTTTTTTTCTCCAAGCTGCCTGTCTCGTCCTGGGTTGTATGATTTTTCCTGATGGCTGGGATTCAGATGAGGTAAAACGGATGTGTGGTGAAAAGACAGACAAGTACACGCTGGGGGCTTGTTCGGTCCGCTGGGCATATATCCTGGCAATTATTGGAATCTTGGATGCCCTGATCCTCTCATTTCTGGCATTTGTGCTTGGCAACAGACAAGACAGCTTGCTAGCAGAGGAGCTCAAGTTGGAAAACAAAGGTAGGACTGCTTTAGAAACACTATTATTGGGCGGCCTCGAGGGCAATTGCTTAAAAACAATGATCGGTTTCATTTTATTTTATGCTTAAAAGTTGGCATGCTGGCTGATTTCCGAAGTTGCTGGGAAAGAAGAAATGCAAGGGGCAGAGGAAGTTTTGCTTTTTAGCCTCCAAAATCTAAGAAAGCTTGAAACTGCCATAATTGCTGTACTTTGCATGACTTAGCCTTAACAGTTTTTAGCAGTAGATGGGATGTTTTTGTGTTACCCATTTGTGCATTATTTCACTAACATTGAAGTTTCACTGTCTCCATCTTTTTCTGTACCTCGTGGAAGCCTTGTTCATTTGATTCCTTTCGGATTTTGCATTGTAATGTGAATGGCTGTAATATGGCCTATGTGTTAGCACAGTACACAGTTTGGAGGGAGCATTGACCTGGGAGGTTGGCAGTGAGCTGTGTGATGGGACTGCCTATGCAGCGAGGCACCGGTGGGCTAAGGATCAGAGCCAGCAATGAAGAAGGATCCTAGTTCTTGTTTGATTGTGTTGCTTTGAGCTCATTAGTCAGCTCACAGAAATCCAGGATGCTCTGGTAGCTGAGTGTCCCTGCAGTGGGTTGGTGATAAAACACACTTCTAGATTAAGAACATGAAACTAGCTCAGGCCAGCAGTTTATCACACAGTTGTGAGAGGAGAGATGCTGTTTGGTGGGCGTGTGAAAGCCTGGCTGAGTTCTGCAGGCCCTTCCCCTTGTGCTCCCCCAGCATCCACAGCTGCGTATCTGATGTGACAGATACCCCAGAGGACACGTCCCTGCCTTGTCTTTTTAATGGACCTGTTGTCCCTGGATCTATCTAATCCCTTCTGAACCTGCTGATACTGTTGGCTTCTACAGCACCATGTGGCAGCGAGTTCCTGAAGCTCACTACCGACTGCTAAAGCAGTACTTTCTTTTATCTATTTCACATTAATCCCCCACTAGTTTCACCAAGTGTCCCCAAGTACAGGGTTCTGCATTCAGCTCATCCGCCACCTTTGTAATTGTGTATGTTGCTTCTAATAATAGCAAAGATATTAGGAGCCCTTCACCACTGGATCGGAAATCAGAAGCTGTTTGGCAGCTTGCGTTGTACAAAAATAGCTGGTCTCAGTCCTGCTCCAGAAGGATCATTATCCATGTAGTTGAAAGCACCACCACACTGGCCCCAGCTTGCTGAATTGCAGACAGTCAGCACACTCAGCCCAAAGATAAATGGACTTGAAGATTGAACTTCACATATGATTCTAGACCTGGTTAGAGGCTACTAATGTTGTGGGTTAAGGACAGTGTACGTTGCTTGCAATTGCACGTGTACATCTGTTCTGCAGGTAAACTGAGGGCATGGGTTTCAAGGACTGCCTTTGTGGCCCTTTTCTGTAAGGATAATACTCATTTGCCTTTGAAAATTAAAATACTTATCAGAAGGGCATTCACAGTTATGCCACAAGTGCTTTTGGCACCAGCACTGTGTCTGATTTGTCTATGCCATACAGAGCTCATGAACCCAACGACTATTTGTATCAAAGAACCTCATCTGTTTTGGCACCTTATGAGCAAAAACAGCTTCTGGAGACTCAATCACCTTTCACATCGCTGGCACAAGCTCCTGCCAGAACATTTGGTCCTCAGCATGTCGGACAAAACCATTCAGCACCTCGTTTTCCTTGGATTAAGCACAGAAATGTACCACACCATCAGCTTCAAAGCAAACCAGCACTCAACAAAAAGGGACTCATCCCACTTTGTCCTTCACAGTCAAGCCTAATGTTCACCACTTTCTAAACTGTCTTTCAAATGAAAAGAAAAAGAGGCAACCTGTCTTCTAAAAAGGACATAATCTCCCCTCTCTTCACAAGAAGCTTCTACTAAGCAACAACAGGGCAAATCTAGCAGCTAGCAGTCATTTGACTGTGGATGCTGCCCACAGTGTTTAGGAGGAAGAGTTTGGGTTCATATGGTCAGGATTGTGAGGCAGGTTGTGTAATCCTGGCAGTCAGTGGCTGCGTACTCAGGTGACCAGTTTTGTGGCAGTGGTCTGTGGTTAGAGAGGGTGTTGCTACTTACACCATAGTGATGAAGAAGCTGGTAGAAGATTAGGGCCAACACTTGTCCTGAAGTTGGCGCCAAACAAGCTCCTGTCTGTACCCCTGGCACACACTGCACATGCAAGAGGGCTTTGACATTTACTCCATAAACTACATCCCCATGGCCTCTTTTTGGATTAAGAAATGCTGAAGTAATACTCAACAGCACTAGTCAACATGTAAATTAGCCGTGTGCCATGGTCAGGATGCCAAAATACCAAAATATGCAAATGTCACTAACACGCCTCCCATACAGACAAGAAGATAAGACTAAGGATATAAGCAATCCCATCCTTAGGCTCCCCAGCTACTTTTATGATGTGAAGTCAAAGCCCTTATAACAAGCAGCCTTGAATATTAAACACTCCCCATTCTCACCTACAAGAGGTCTGCCTCCAGACTTGTGCTGGCTCCTGCTTCCAGATTAGGAGGTATGGATGAGGAGCATCCTCAAGGAGGAGTCCCTGTGCTGCTGCTGTCTTCCAAGGCATAAAGGATGTTGCCTGATGGTCAGGGCTGTCTTTTGGGTGGGAACCCAGGGACTGCTTCCCCTTGGTGGTGGTGATGTCCTCTGGTGGCAAGCCTGGACATCCTACAGGCTGTGGTAAGCCAGGTGTCCCCTTAAGGGACAGTCATGGCTCTGTCATGGCTTTTTGGGAGAACGCACCTGGAGAGCAACCAACACCGCACCCGAAAGGAACCTTTGCTTGCCCTGTCACTTCTTCTCTGCTGCCACGGCTTTACCCCACACATGTAGATATTATTATGCGGTAGCTCAGCAGAGGGGAAGAGACAGTAAATTAAGTAGAAGAGTCACAACAGTGTTTATTTATGTGGAAAAACCTTCAAGAACAAGAAATGATTAGGCAACAATCAGACAGCTGGGCAGCTGTTTTCTTAATCAGGTAATAGTTCCGTCTGAAGGCTTCCTTGCAGATCAGCTTCCACAGGCTCATTAATGAGAATCTGCGGTGACTGTGCAAGTACCTGGCACCACAGTTGTTTCTGAGCATTGGTGACAAGGAAACAGTTAAAAGTGTATGAAATGCAACAGGATGATAAAAAGGTGAGAAAATTACAGAAAAAGAGGAAGCTGTACTTCTCTGTAGACTTACTGTGCTGAATTGTCCACCTGCTCTGTGCTTTTGATTACTACAGTTCTGTATGTTTACACAGGTTAATGAATGCTCCTAAGAAAGGAATTTGGCTGTTAAAATTATTCATGGCAGAAGACAGCTGTATATTTGCCATAAAAGAAAGTTTCCTTTTTCACTACATGATAAAAACAGTGCTTGCTCATTTCTTCTTTGCTTAGGTATGAGAGTAAACTGCCACACAGGTTTCATGCCTGAGAAATACAACTCAAGTTTAGCAGACTTTCTTCAGGTTATACTATATTTAATACCATTTCCTAATCATGTAAATTTTACACAACAATCTGTACCTTTTTCATTTAAAAAACTACCTTTTAAAGGGTATTTCTAATAAGACTTTCAAGTTATGTTTATGCCATTAGCAAAAGAAGGGGAGAGAACTGTATTACATTGTTTAATTTATAGGAACTAATAGTAGTGACTTAAAGGCTGGCGTTATTAAACTAATGGCATGCAGGGCGATAACAAAAATCGTCAGAATTCATCTTGGCTTTAACCTTCATCAACACCATTTTGAGCGAGCCATCAACATCAGGCGTAAACCTTGAGGTGTTGTGTAACGATGTAATTTAACATTTTGAACTGTAATGTCTTAATGACATAAAATTAAATTTCTGGCCAAAGGGAGAAGAGACCAGATGAGAAGTTTCACAAAGAAATTGAGAGTGCAAGGCAATTACTTTTATGTTGGAAAGTGGTAATATGGTCTGTATTATGAGTGATAAATACAAGAGCATTCAAAAGAAACTATTCTGTTAAGTAATATCAGTCAGAGCAGGTGGATGATGCACTTTGTGGACAGCTGTGACTTTTCTGATGGATAGAATAGATTCACAAGGTGTTTGTGTTCAACATTTGACTCATCTTTGGGGCCGGTATGGTCACAGATAAAGAATTTGCACTAAAGATTTCCTGGGGTTGCAAGTCTAATGTTGAAATAGATAAAAGGAGCCAGGAGCTAGACCGGAGATTTGAAGGATGCATCTACCCTGCAGTGATCGCAACTCACACAGACTCAAACTACACCACATTGCTCCCAACAGCCACGTTGCAGAAAGCCTGCTGCAGAGCTCAGTTCCAGATGCCCAGCCGAGGACTTACCGGTTGGGTGACACTTACACCCTCATTGTTCTCCACACCAGTGCCGTCAGGGCCTGACCCAGGTTGTTGAAGGATGGCTCTGCCCACCTACATGAGCTGCAGTCATTGCCGAATAAACACAGTTAAAGACAGAAGCTAAGGGGAGGTTGTTTCTCAGTGACAAAGCAATTTTCTGTAAAAGAAAAAAATAGTCTTGCACAGCAATGTGCACACCTTTGGCTAGAGAATCATCTTCTGTAAACAGGAATAGTCTACCCACATGACTGCCACTGCAACAGAAACCCATCTGCAAAAGGCCTAGTATCTGAAGCTGAGTGACAGGAGGCTAGCGGAGCACTTGTCCCACCGAGGGACTACACGACAGAGTGCGCATCAGCTGTCGTTCTTCGAAAGGAAAATAGCTCAGGTCACAATGCATGTGCAAACTGCTGCAAAATTGCAAAGCCCTGCTTATCAGCATGTAGTTCTCATGGCATACTCTCACAAACCTTCAGGCTATCTTGTTCCAGATTAGGTGAACATACATGAATATTGATACCTGCTTTAAGTTTTCCCATATATCTACAATGCATAAAAGAATTGCCAACAGCCCCGGTAGTAATAAAGAGAACAAATCCAGTCAGAACACCATGTATACCCCTGTAAACCCATGTTCTGTATCCAATAAAAACATATAGTCCCTTTTTTTTAAAGTTGTGTACCCCCTGACTCCTCCTGATACACAAAAAGTCAGTGTACCTTTTCATTTCAGTTAGCATGTACTTTTCAAAATAAATATACTTTCAAGAATAAATTACAGGATTTCCGTTACTATCTTCTTTTTTCCACACGGGTATTCCTCTTCATGTCTCCTAGTCTCCTCCCATCCTTCCTTTCTAAAGAGTTCAAGAGTCACGCACTTCAGCCTCTTGCTGCTTCAGTGCATCACTCCATGTTCAAAGCACTTAAGGTGACTTTGAACTCAGAACCGACTCAGCCACTTGAATTGCCATTTGAGAAGGGGAATGTGGGAGAAACTCATTGGGGAGTGATCTGTGATGGACTGCTATAGACAGCCCACCACATGCACTTGCCAGGCTGCAGCTGGCCAGAGGAAGCTGGAACTACGTCAAAAGGTTTATGCTCTTGCCTCAAAGGAGAAATATTTAGGTACCCTGGTTTTCAAAGGCAAAATCAGGCTCCTCTTTGAAGCCTGCAGCCATAGGTTCCAGGTTGGGAATTCCTGGCCCTCATTTCTAGCTTCAAAACATGATTCTCTGCCATGTCAGCGAAGAACAAAGTCTTGTCACAGCTATGAAGAGCTCATGTGTTCTCTTTCAGCTTCAGCTGACAAGTGGCTCATGTATCATAGCATCACTGCAATTAGCTCCAGTTGTTAATTTCTTTGTTTAATTAAAACATGTTTTCCTTCAGGTATCACCTCCACAAAGAGCTACAAGGAGCTCTGCGTATAAGAACAGTAGGCAAGTAGTACAAGACATATTTCATGTAGAAACCTGCAACTAGAAGCCAAACCTACAGATTTTTTTTTAACAAAGTTTTTTCCCCAAAATTTCCTGC